TTTATTTTAGTTTAGCCAAACAAATCCTTTGGCATATTCAAAAACCAAAAGAATATCTTTAATTAGCTCATTCCTTGCCTCGATATTCCTTGGTAGATTTGCACCAATTGATATAGCTGATGGATCAGGAATGAACTTGCTAGATATAAACAATAAACAATGGAATGATAAATTATTAAAAATCTGTGGAGATGGTGATGGAGAAAAATTAAAATTGAAACTTGGTGAGCCTGAACCTAATGGATTAAAAATTTTGGGAAATGTTTCCAATTATTTTGTAAAAAAATATGGATTTGATAAAGGTATGATATATATATATACATACATGCATACATATATATATATAAACATGTATGCATTCAATGTGAGTGATTATTTTTTTTTAAAAAAAAAAATAGATTGTAGAATCATTCCATTTACAGGTGATAATCCAGCCACTCTTATATCTATGAATCTTACTCCTGGAGATATATTAATATCATTAGGAACATCAGATACAATTTTATTGTACACAACTAAACCATCACCAACAATTGAATCACACACACTATGTCATCCAACAAATCCATCAGCTTATATGTCAATGATATGCTATAAGAATGGAAGTTTAACACGTGAGTACATTCGTGATAAATATACAACAACAATAAGAAATGATAGCAATGATCCCTCCTTGTTGTCATCAGCATGGACACTATTCAGTCAATTGTTGAAAACCTCAAAACCAAACAAAAGAAAAATGGGATTTTATTTTTTAGTGCAGGAGATCATACCATTTGCAAAAGGAATTTATAGATTTGAAGATAGCCAGCTGATTGATGAGTTTCAAGATGATCCTAAGCTTGATAATGTTAGGTGTATCATTGAGTCACAGTTTATTTCAATGAGAATCAGAATCGAGAAATTGATTAATGATTTTGAAAACTCAGTCAATAAAGTAGTTGTTGTGGGAGGAGCAAGTAAAAATCATGAAATTTTACAAGTGTTATCAGATGTTTTTGGCAAAGAGATTTGGAAACAAAAGCATCATCATAATTGTAATGATAATAACGACATCAACGCAGCTTCTATGGGGGCTGCTATGAAAGCAAAGATGGCATTCAACTATGAGAATGATTTTGAAGATGAAAAGTTGGAAATTAATTCTTTTGTTAGTGTTGCGAAACCTAGAATTGAATATACTGATATCTATAAGGATATGTTTAACATCTATAAAGAATTAGAAAATATTGTAATAAATAATCAAATTTCCAGAATTCAAGAATAATAACCTTTAATTTTCTCAAAGAAAATAATAATATTTATAAAATAAGAAAATTAATAGAAAAATAAAATATTTACAAGAAAATAATATTTATAACAGTTGTTTCATCCTGCAATTGGAAACAATGGAGCAAAAGCAATCAAATTTTTCTCAAATGACACATTCTAATTCCTAATCGGTGTCCCAACCAGTATCCACCCCAACAAAAATATAGGTACCATACTTTTACCAAATTATTTTTTTGTTAAAAATATAATTAATTGTATATCCTTAGTGACATGAAGTGCAAAGCAGTTAGAG